GCCCCCCCCCCCCCCCCCCCCCCCCCCCCCCCCCCCGCCCACGAAAACGATTACTGCAAGGGTTGCGATAGTTATCGGCTTGTTGAAAGTCTGGCAGCTACACTAAAGACTAGCCGCTACGAAATATAATAGGTATGAGCGTTGTATATACGAGATCTTTATATTTTTGGCGTACCTTTTATATTTAAGCGACATCCATTTTCAAACGTACGATTATTTTGACTTAAGGCTACCAGCGATATTTCGCGAAGGCTACGAAACGTTCCGTCAAAGTCCTAAATTGCGAAGCGATTATGATAGGTTTCCTAACCTTCAGGGTGGGATAAATACCTCTCTAAGTAGCGTCTCACTGTATATAGCTTATCTAGATCTTCTCCTTCGTGCAACTCCAGTACACCCACAACCGCCCCCATGTAAAGTGACCGTTATCTCACAGCCATGGTTATTTTCTATACTCCCCTTACCCCCCTCCCCCCAGACCCGGTATGGTACTTATCTAATGAGTAGGCCCATGGAGTCTTATCTTTAGCGCGTATATGCCACCAATATCCGCCAAGTACGTAGGTAACATACTGTTAGGATGCTCGGATGCTTCATTACTTCGTAAGTATATGTAAGTGAACACTAAGGAAGACAGGCAATGACCCCGCGGATGCTTAAGTAGTCTACTATCAGTCTGGGAAAACCCTGCACACCCCCCTGGTCTATTTGACATGGATATTCCGATCAAAATCATACCCGTAACACCTTGTATCTGACGCTCACATGTCAGCTGGTGATACACCGTTACAACAGCTGGAACATCGCACCAACTAGGTATCTAAGACGACCTATCCACGCCAGCGGATCAGAGACATGGGTTCTCCTAAATATTGTTGGCGACATGTACATTGCCAACATCACGGATGTGTAGTCGAGTGTCCTCTATCACAGCGTTGGCCACTGGAATTTCTCCCACGTTTCCAATGGAAAGGCCATTTGCATCTTCAGTAGCTATACTTCTTAGCTCGTTACCTTTCTAGTAGGGACTTGATTTGCTTTTTACCGTCTTTGATAGGAGCAGCACCGGCGAGGCCACTAAGTAACATGATAATTGGAGCCCAGATCGCGAATATATGCATGGTGAATACGGTTGTGCTAGTGATGAAGTATGTCGCGTAATTTGAGTTGGGTATCGTGCAATTATTAGACAAGTATAAACCACCAATAAGTATTGTTGAACAACGAGGAGTTTAAAACGTGTTGTAGTCTTGTGGTTCATAAATCGACAAAACAGTGATACAAGAAGAGAGGCTCGATTGACTGCCTCATCGAGGAGTCGTCGTAGATTATATAGTGAACCCTCTGTGTATTCTCGTTTCCTCCCAGCCTGCTGTTAATCCGTCGGTGGACAAGAATAATAAGTCCCACTTAAACGAGTTCTTACTAGGACATAGAATTTCTGGATCACGATGTGACACAAGAGACATGTGTACCTAGCTGCTGTAGGATCTGCAGGCTGTCGTTGCTCCATCAAACGTCGATTTCCCAGGGCGCCGGTGTTATGTCCATATCTGCTCTTCTCACGTAATATTTATAATTAGTTTTCAAATGTCGGCTTCGTCTTCCGACTGCCGTTGCAGCCTTGTGAGCATCGGCGGCTTTTCAAAGTTACACCATCGCAACTCCGTTGAGGCTGCACCCAACAATTAATCACAAAGACCTGCAAAATTTCTTGAGTCGAATGCTAAAAATAACTTTCTATTAGGGTACAACTCGTTTTCAGCTATCGTCCGTAAGTACTGGGTCAAAGCACATACTCCTCTACACCCATGATCGACAGACTAAGTGGGTAGATTATGTAGATGTAGTACCAACAGTGATTACAGCAGGCTGAAAAGGCTCATGCAGTTAGGTACTATCCACGGTTAAGGCTACTCTCAGGAGATCAAAAAAGGTAGGGACTGATGTAGCACATCAAGCATAATCGACTTACTATACACCTTTTTGATCGGATCCCATCTCAGCCTGGTCTAGGCATGAGTAGTTATAAGTTCTAAGTATGAACGCGGAGAACGTTGCTAGTCCCACGGACTGCCTTGATACGCCACCAGATAACTTTTTCTATGAAATCATTCTTGGGTCTCATTGCATTTACTTATCACTTTCGAAGTTCCGAGTATCTTGGTGCAATGTCTTCCTCCGAAGGATACACATTGCTATATGAGGGAGATGATCAAGCGAGTTCGGTAGTCTCGCCCAATAACGAGCAATGTGAAGCTTTATGTCGCAAGAGATGTAAGAAGGCACGGCATTACGTTGCTTGGAGAACAACATGCTACATCGTCGCCGGTTTGCTTTCCACCCTCCTCGTGATATCCTTCTCTGTAGTGATATATTCACGAATGGATCCGTACCTCTCCTTGCATCGAGGCCGCAGTTGGTGTAAGTTTGACATTGGCGCCATTTACACCAGTAACTAACGATCTTTCAAGCCCCTGCCATTGATGTGCTTGACTACGAGCTTGTCCAAATTGATAGATTAGGGACTTATCGTCACAGTACTTACGCAGGGCCGCCATCGCCAGAACAAGATGAAGCATGGGACAAACTGGTGCGACGTAAGTAAAAACTTCTCGGTGGAAACTAATCCTGAGTACTAACATCAATAGCCTCGTTTTTTCGGGCCTCTCGTGAGGAGATGGAGCGTGCTGGAGAGTCTACGGATGATGCGGTGAAAATAGCCGATGGGGGATATGTCACCGAGCTTGGAGTGTATCATGAGCTACACTGCATTGTGAGCTTTTATTGACAATTTTGTCGGTCGGTAACGCGGCTTATGAGGCTAACAATAATTTAGCGACATCTCAGATTCTACCTTTACCGAGACCACTACTACCCAAACCTGACAAGTTCTCAACAAGAATATCTTTATGTACATCTCGGTTCGTATCAAATTCAACCATATCATGCAAGCTTTACAGACTGACATGAACCATTTACAGACCATTGTTTGGAATCTCTAAGAAAAGTAGTCATGTGTCATGGGAATAGTGCCTTGTATTCATTCAAGTGGCACGGCGATAATGAACCTAGGGCCGCGGTTAAGTCCAATGCACGGTCGGTGTGTGTGAAGTGGGATTCGATTGAATCCTGGAGTTATTCGCGAACACTGCCGTACAATTACCCTCTCCGATGGTCTGGAAGTCCCGACGGCTTGGCATGAGACATGAAAACTACAACACAGGTTAGGACCATGGGTCGAATGAGAAAAGTACAAGTCTCGAGATCACGTTAACGTGATTGAGGGAGCGTTTAGGGAAAAGGTTAAAAGATAGACGTTATATTCCAGTAGAATCATCAACGTTGTGTTTCCAGTTGCTGGTTTCTTGTAGCTGGCTAGCATTCTATTTGGCCCATACCTTGGGAGATAGTACGAGTATCATACATGTCTTTAATCATAGATTGAGTGCTATATATTCTGCAGACTCCTGATATGCTATTGTCAGTAGAAGGGGTCCCAGAGTGAGTAGAAGGTCATTCACAGCCAAGGAGGTAGGTAGAAGGGGTAGTATAGGCGTCGATATTCATTGAATCCTGAACCTTCTAACCCTCGAAGGGGGGTCCAACACCCCTTTATATAGCCAGTAGGTCTAATACAGCCACCCCTAGGGTCTATGTGACCATATCACCTGACACTGCCTGGGAAATATTTGTCAATGAGAAACTTACGCTCTTCGTACGCCAAGTCCCGCGTAATGGCTCAAGGAAGGTGCAGGGAATTTATTAGAAGAGTTTCGACGGCATATAGTCGGCCGCGATCATCTGCCTCTTTTGTAGGTTCGCTCTTAGGGTAGTATCTGAAGTACGCTTCCCGATAACTCTTGTCCGTCATTTTATGACTACAGTGCCCCAACATCAGTTCCGGGCTTGGGTACATTAATGTAATTTTGATAACGTTTACTTTAGGTTTAAAACATAAATCCATAGAAATAGATATTTCTCTACCAGCAGTGTTCATGGTGATTCCGGGGGGGGGGGGGAGACAGGATTAACTTACTGCGCGACTCTCCAAATTGCAACCTCTTTCTTGTGGTGGGCATAGTATGAACAAGCATCATAGACGTAAAGACCCTTTATGCGCCTATCTATCCCTATATTCGACTCCCATAAGTCCCCATGAATTAAACATGGTTTAATTGTTCGACCCTCAGCAGTAAGGGGGTCGAGCAGCCGTGGGATTAGCTTGCTGGATGTAATTTGCATTGCATCCTCCAGGGGCTGCCAATGACCGTTCACCCTCTTCTCGAGCATGTAAACGTCGTTTAACAACCTAGTGAAAAAGCGTGTCTAGCTGCTGTCCCAGGAAGTGGTCAATGGCTGCTCTCCATCGAATGTTGTACAATAAAATCCAAACTGCCCATTGGGAGAGAGGCTCTTATGGTGTAACTCTGCCAGTGTCCTACTGAGTCGTTCGGGATTTGGTAGGCCATGGGTGACGTCTAGAAAGTCGCATACAAGGAAGTGGGTGCCCCTATTATTGTGGCATTCTCCATAACCGCGCGGCTTTGGTCCGATGGCAGGCATTGTATTGTAAATCTCAGACATGGCCCTCAACTCCCCGCATACTCTTTCCGCGCCATTTTCGACACTGATGGTCTAGCCAGAGGCGGTCAGTGAGTTCTACAGATACTTGAAAGGTGACTTAAACAACCTACCTACAAGAAATAAGAACGTGGCCTTCCATGAAGAGCCGTGGCATCAATTTTCCTATGACTCGTTAACCTGATCTCTCCGATATAGTAGCGTAATATCCAGCACAAGAAAGTCTCCTCACTGTAAAAACTTTTAACTCGTACCACCGCAACCTAATTTTGCACACCAGGTGCTCGAATACTTGCCCATATGTTGGCCCACGCTGAAACCTCGTACTTTCGAATCCCGGAGACAATGTCACCTTCTTCCAATACTATTATGGTTAGGATTGGTCGTCTTCTATACAGGTGGAACAGGAACTTCCCGGCTGCCATAGCAGGGTCAATTTCCGTATTATTATCGTGGAAATTTTGGTAATTGATGTGTGACGGGTGAAGGATACTCTCCCGGTCAACCTCATTGCTGCGTCTGGACGTCTCCGTATCAGCAGCCATGATTAAGGGCTTGATAATTATATTTCCTGTGATCCGCTTAAGACCTTAGACAATGTGTAACAGGCCACGAGTTTCATCGCTTTGGAAATCGCTACATGTTAACTTTGGTGCTTGACCGCTTTCCATTCTATATATTCACTCTCCATGACTACAAATCGCGGGCAGGTCATAACAGTAGTTTGATGACCCTTACACACCAGTGCTTTCTCGCCAAGTTGTCAGCCTGCAACCCAATGCATGCACCACCACCAACAGTACATAGATGGATATCGCGGGCCGAATGACTGGCCAGATCACTTGGGGGCCAAATAGGTTAATGGCGCTTGTGCTCCACTAACCTCCGCAAGTTGATAGTAACTCTGGTGACGTTGGATTAAGAAAAATATCATTTAAAATTTCTTGCGTGTCATTATTACTACCCAACTACCTAATTTCTAGCGAGTAGAATATTGCAGGTAGTAGAATAGCTATCATGAGAAGTACTACATTAAGCATTAGTAGAGGATAGTATCTAGGGAGAAGTTTACAGAAGTAAGGGGGACTTAGAAGCTAAAAATTCTTCCATTTCTTACTTCGTAGATATAGACGGTGGGTTACTGTCTAGACAGGCCTTCTGGGCATGTTGCCCTCTGGTTTATCATTAAGGGCTAATTCCTTATAAATATAGACAAATAGAGTGTTAGGCGATCAGTCGCTTCTAGTCCGCCAATCTAGCCACTCATCAACAATATCATAAAACTCTAGTCCTATCAACTCCCGACCGACACGGCGTCTCCAGTCTACCTGTTCAACATCTGTCCCAGCTTTCTCAGGTAGGTCATGCCCACTGGAACACCGAAACTTCGTACAAATCCACTCTTTCGGAACATACCCAGCTGTTTCCCAGTCGATAATAGAAATAGACCCGTCGCTTGCGTCATAGAGGATATTCCCGGGTCCCAGGTCGCAATGATAGAAAACAAAAGACGAACAATCCATCCCTATTTCCTTGCAGTTTTTCAGAAGATTGTCAGAGCTGAAGTCGTATCCTCCCTCAGCTCTGGCGAAGTAATATTCGGTCAAATGCTTGCCATCGACCCCACTAATAGCTTTACCCTTCCAAGCTGCCAACTCCGTACAAATTCTCGCGACGCGGCGGATGCATTCTTGTCTTAATGGTTCATTCATGTCGTACCATAATTCATTCAGTGTTTGGCCGGCAACTCTACTAATAACGATCAAGTACCGACTGGGTCCGAGATCAGTGTGGTAATAGACGTGGGGGATGCGGAAGCTGAGCGGCTGCTTGTTTCGTACGTATTGCAAAGTGTTGTGTTCTCTTGTGGCATCTGGGGTACCTAAGTCTTTCACCTTGACGAAAGCTTCACCAACGCGCCAGACCGCCGAAACATCTCCTGCATCGTAAACTTTTTGAATAACGCCGGTATCGGAGAGTGGCTGTGTCTCCGAAGGAAGAAGGCCAGAAGAGTTAGACAGAACAAAGAAACCGCCTTTACCATCACTCCATGAGGCAGAGCAGGAGGAAGGTGCTTGCATGTGACGTAGAAGCAGTGTTTCTGAAATTAACCAAGATTGGCTGTCAATCTGGCGGATTGATTCACGGACGTGATTCATGTTCACCAATGGGTTATGAACGAAAAGGAGAGAAGTATATAAAGAAAAATGGAAGAAGCAGTATCTCGTTTCAGTTGTGCACGAGATAGTGTAGCATCACGTGAGTTGCAGATTTTCATATTTCTCTCTTCAATTGGTTATCTTCGCTAATTCTCATTGGTCGTTCTAATGCCTGTAGCTGCCGCATGCATACAACAAACAATAGAAACGGCCGAAGGTATTTGGAGACACAAACCGCAAACTTTCTAATAGCGCCTAGCATAGACTTGATACCTGCTTCCCGCTTCTGCCTTGTACTTCTTGCTGCTATATTCGACTATTCGAATCGACCATTTCCCTCGTAGTTTTCGAACACTAACCCATATCTTGAATTGTGGAAGGAAGGGCTCAAACATCTAGAGTCTTTTCTGGCTTTGCTAGCTCTATATGCCTAGTGTAATTACAAATCAGTCTTGCTTGAAGCAAGGCCCAGGGGCTCGAAGTACCTACGCTGTTGTCCGGAAGCGCCGACACGCCAAAGCTGGCTTCAAGTACCCTCTTCGGCGTTGTGCTTCATGCCAACACCCACGACTATCACAGGGGCTCTTTTAACTTCGGGTAATATGATAACCAAGTCAGTTGGCACGAAGCCTAGAGTGACACCGACTCTTGAACAATGTCTCGCGACCGCCTTGGTGAATATCAATAGCAGCTTTCTAAGTAATTGAGATTGCCGAGCTAAGTGATTTCGAGTTACAATTCTTAGCTGTCAGTGTGAGAGCCGCTTGTTCGACTATGATCCGGGCGCTGGCAATCAGGGGTCCAAGACAAGCATGGACGGTCGACATTTATTTATAGTTGTTGCACTGCGCGCCGTCGAAAAGATGCTTCTGGGTTTTGTTGTGTAAGTAGCACAGTCTTTTCTCCTCAGCCATTCATCCTTTCAACGCGAAATATCTGGGACGTTAATATGATACGTACAAGCACAAGGCTCCCGGAATGATATGTTCGGTGCTGACACGAGAACTAGCTCTAATGATAGCAGTAGGTATCGATACCAACTCGCTTGACCAGCGCAGCTTATACCTCCTCTAGGACCTTCAGTGTAAACTCACTTTCCATTACTCGTATTATTATTATTATATACCCGCTGTGCCGCCTACGCGGCGCGGTCCTTCTACCTATATAGCCATAAGTAAAACCATACGATAGCCGGATAAAAACCCCATACAACCTCTAGCTACTGCTTCGCCGCTTCTTAGCCCTATATAAGCTAGTACACTTTATCTAACTATATAATAGGAAAAGGGAAAGTAAAAAAGCTTGGACTCTTTTACTTTCCTTATAATCCTTAATTATTTAAAAAGGAAAGGAAAGCCTTTTCCCTTTTTTTAGGGACCTTTAGGGGGGCCCTTTCGGCCTTCCTACTTAAATTTTTTTTTTTCGTATTCCCCCTTTTTTAATCCCTTTAATCCTTTTAGCTTTATTATATATAATTATTCTATTAATATTTAATAGCTACCTTATAATTATTTTTATTTTTATTAAGTTTTTTATTATTATTTATAAATTTTTATTAATTTATAATTATATTTTAATTAATTTTTTAATTAAAATCTTCCTTTTATCTTTTAATAATTTATATTATAGGATTATATATTATAAAGTTTTTTTACTTTTTATATATTTATAAAAGGAAGTTAAAAACTTTAAAACCTTTTTTTTATATAGGAAAGTTTTAAGCTTTATTTTTTTAATTTATATTTATATTATTAAAGTTGCTTTATACTTTAAAAATGTATAAAACTTTTATAATACTTTTTTTTATTAAGCTTTTATTCCATTATTATAAAGTAATTATATTTTATTTTAATATAACTTTATCTTTTTTTTTATTTTTTAATTAAAATATTATTTAATTTTTTTCCCTTTATTTATTTATTTTATTAATAATTTAAGTTTATAATTAAATTATTTTATAATTAATTTTTTATATTATTTATAAGTTTTCCTTTAATTTACTTTTTAATTTATTATTTTTAAAATATTTATATAAATTAATTAACCTTTATTATAGCTTTTATTAATACTTTATAATAAATTAAATTTTTTAATTAACTTTTATTTATTATTACTTTATTATTTAAATATAAATTAATAAAAGGTATATTTAATTTTATTTTAAATTAATATATTAATATAGCTTTAAAGGCTTTTATAATATATTTAATATAAATATTTTAAATACTTTTAAAAAAATTAACTATACCTTTTAATTTATTTCCTTTAAATTATTTATATTATATAATTATTTTATATATTAAAATACTTTATATTATTATAAAGTAAATTTTTTTAACTTTTATTATATTATTACTTTATATTAAGTTTTATAATTTAATTATTATATATATTTAAATATTTAACTTTTTTTTAAATTTAATAAAATATTATTTTTATTTAAGTTTTTTATTTAATTATATTTTTAAAAACTTTATACTATTTATTAATTATATTATTATTTATTTAAATTTAACTTTTTATTTAAATATTTTTTAACTTTTAAAGAAATATATAAGTTTATTTTTTTAAAGGGTAAATTTTATCCTATATTTTAATATTTAAATTTTATATATTTATTATATTACTTTTAAAACTTTATAATTTTATTTTATTTAAAAATTAATTATAAAAAGGTTTATATTATTTATAAATTTATTATAACTATTTTTTAATATATTATAAGGTTATTATATAATATTAATATATATAAAAGGAATAATAAAGGTAAAAGGGAAAAGCTTTAAAAAACTTTTACTTTTAAAAGAATTAATTAAAAAGCTATATTATTAAAATAAAGTTATATTAATCTTTTAAAAATAAATAAATAAACCTATAATATTATTTATAATAAATAACCTTTTTATTAAAAAATATAAATTATTCTTTTTTTATTAATTATATTAAAAGCTTTAATAATATTTAATTAAAGGAAGGATATAATACCTTTATAATTAAAGGCTATTTTAATTACTTTTAATATTAATTTAATTATTATATTTATTAATTTACCTTTCCTATTTTCTATTTAATTATTTAATAATAGTTTTTCCTTTTTAATTACTTTTATTAACCTATAATTAAGGATATTTAAGGATATAATTAAAAAGATCTTTAAAAAACCTTTAATAACTTTTTAAATTTAAATTTAATTATTAAATAATTTAAGCTATTATAATTAAAAGTTTAACTTTTACTTAATAGGAAGCTTATATTTTAAGTATAAATAGTAAATATAAAGGAAAATGGAAAAATAATAATAAATAACCTATTTATTAATAATATAATGGAAAATTAAAATAAACCTATTAATAATATAACTATAATATAATAATTACTTAATAGGAAGTAAGTTATTATTAATTTAAAAGGAATTAAAGGGATATTAAATAAAATATTTAAATTAATATTATAGCTTATAATAAATAGAAAAATAAAAGAAAAACTTTCTTTATAAAAAAATATAAAAAGGATATAATTAATTTATTCCATTTATAAATTAATTATAAAATAAATAAAACTAAAATTAAATATAAAAAAAAGAAATAATATTTTAATTATTTAAAAGGATTTTAAAGAAGCCTTATAAAAAGCTTTATAATAAACTATATATATAATAATAAACCTTTTAAAATTATAAGCTTAAATAATAATTATTATATAGTTAAATAATATTAATAAAGTAATATTGTTAAAGTATAATAAAAAGATCTTTATTTAAATTAAGGAATAAATAAATAATTTTAAAAAAAAATATTAAAGGATATTATAAGAGTAATAAATATAACATTCCTTAAAAATAATATTATTATAATAAAAAAGCTATATAGTAATAATATAATAATAATATTTAAAAATATAATATTAAAAGAAGTAATAAATAAAAAGTAAGTAATAAAAGCTTTTAATAAAGGGTTAAAGTTATAATATAAAAAGGTAATTATAATTATAAAAAGGATTTTAAAAAATTAAATTTAAAAAATATATATAAATAAAGAACTATTATAATTATTTTAAAAGGAATATTTAAATATTATATATTATAAAAGGATAATATTTAAAAATAATAAAATAAAGCTAATATTTATTATTATTTATATTATTAATATAATAATAATAAAATTAATATATAATAATAACTTTTTATAAAAGGTTTAACTTTTTAATTATAAACCCTTTTTATTAAAATTAAAAATTATATAATACTTTAATTATTATAAATATAAATATATTATAAAATATTATAAAAAGGACTTAAAGTATAGCCTTTATATAATATTAAAGTATTAAAAAAAAAAGAAATGTTTAATAAAGAAAGCTAATAAAAGGAAAAAGTGTATAAATTATAATAAAGCCTATATAGCTTAAAATAAAAGATATAAAAGGGAAATAAAAAAAATAAAGTAAAAGTAATATATATATTATAATTAAGGAGCTTTTAAAATAAAAAGGAAATAAAAGCTATAAATAAAAAAGTAATTAACTTTAAGGCCTTTTTAATATTAACCTTTACCAAGCTTTGTTAAAATTAGCTAGCAACTGCGGGTGCCTTACTGGGTGGCTCAGTTGGTGCTATAGTAGGTGCTATAGTAGGTGCTATAGTAGGTGCTATAGTAGGTGCTACAGTAGTGCCACAGTAGGTGCCTTAGTAGGTGCTGCAGTAGTGCCACAAGGGCCGCCATAACAGTATTACAAGGGCCGCCACAGCATTGCTATAATAGCTGCTACAGTAGTTCTACAGTAGCTATTACAGCAAAGGCTACAGTAGGTGCTACAATGCCCATCATACCCTTAGTTAACTTATCAACTGGTGCGCTAAACTGCTACGCTAAACCTACCTTAATTGGTTTCGCCCTATTAAAACCTGCTTTAAAGGGGCTTGCCCTAACTAAGTGGCCCAGCTAACTTGCTAGGGGCATTAGTTATTCCGTTAGCTAATGTATTAACTAAATCGCTAATAACGCTATTAACGTTAGGTTTTAACGTATAGCTTAATAAGTATTTTAATAAGCTTAACGGGTATATTAAAAGTATTAGTTAATTTATTAATAAAATTACTAAT